AACACCCGCCACCCATAGACTCAACAACACCGCCACCCATAGACTCAGCAACACCGCCACCCATAGACTCAACAACACCGCCACCCATAGACTCAACAACACCGCCACCCATAGACTCAACAACACCGCCACCCATAGACTCAACAACACCGCCGCCAATAGACTCAACAACACCGCCACCCATAGACTCAACAACACCGCCACCCATAGACTCAACAACACCGCCACACACAGACTCAGCAACACCGCCACCCATAGACTCAACAACATCGCCACCCAATCAACAACACCGCCACCCATAGACTCAACAACACCGCCAGCCATAGACTCAACAACACCGCCACCCATAGACTCAACAACAACGCCACCCATAGACTCAACAACACCGCCACCCATAGACTCAACAACACCGCCACCCATAGACTCAACAACACCGCCACCAATAGACACAACAACACCGCCACCCATAGACTCAACAACACGCCACCCATAGACTCAACAACACCGCCACCCATAGACTCAACAACACTGCCACCCATAGACTCAACAACACCGCCACCCATAGACTTCAACAACACTGCCACCCATAGACTCAACAACACCGCCACCCATAGACTCAACAAACTCCGCCACCCATAGTCTCAACAACACTGCCACCCATAGACTCAACAACACCGCCACCCATAGACTCAACAAACTCCGCCACCCATAGTCTCAACAACACCGCCACCCATAGACTCAACAACACCGCCACCCATAGACTCAACAAACTCTGCCACCCATAGTCTCAACAACACCGCCACCCATAGACTCAACAACACCGCCACCCATAGATTCAACAACACCGCCACCCATAGACTCAACAACACCGCTACCCATAGACTCAACAACACCGCCACCCATAGACTCAACAACACCGCTACCCATAGACTCAACAACACCGCCACCATAGACTGAAAACACCGCCACCCATAGACTCAACAACCACTGCCACCCATAGACCTCAACAACACCGCCACCCATAGACTCAACAACACCGCCACCCATAGACTGAACAACACCGCCACCCATAGACTCAACAACACCGCCACACATAGACTGAACAACACCGCCACCCATAGACTCAACAACACTGCCACCCATAGACTTCAACAACACCGCCACCCATTGACTCAACGACACTGCCACCCATAGACTCATCAACACCGCCACCCATAGACTCAACACCACCGCCACCCATAGACTGAACAACACTGCCACCCATAGACTCAACAACACCGCCACCCATAGACTCAACAACACTGCCACCCATAGAATCAACAACACCGCCACCCATAGACTCAACAACACTGCCACCCATAGACTCAACAACACCGCCACCCATAGACTCAACAACACGGCCAACCATAGACTCAACAACACAACCACTCATAGACTCAACAACACTGCCACCCATAGACTCAACAACACCGCCACCCATAGATTCAACAACACCGCCACCCATAGACTCAACAACACCACCACCCATAGACTCAACAACACCGCCACCCATAGACTCAACAACACCGCCACCCATAAGACTCAACAACACCGCCACCCATAGACTCAACAACACCGCCACCCATAGACTCAAACACCACCACCACCCATAGACTGAACAACACGGCCACCCATAGACTCAACACACCGCCACCCATAGACTCAACAACACCGCCACCCATAGACTCAACAACACCGCCACCCATAGACTCAACAACACCGCCACCCATAGACTCAACAACACCGCCACCCATAGACACAACAACACCACCACCCATAGACTTCAACAACACTGCCACCCATAGAATCAACAATACCGCCAGCCATAAACTCAACAACACCGCCACCCATAGACTCAACAACACCGCCACCCACTCAAGAACACCGCCACCCATAGACTTCAACAAAACTGCTACTCATAGACTCAACAACACCGCCACCCAAAGACTCATCAACACCGCCACCCATAGACTCAACAACACCGCCACCCATAGACTCAACAACACCGCCAACCATAGACTCAACAACACCGCCACCCATAGGCTTCAACAACACCGCCACCCATAGACTCAACAACACCGCCACCCAAAGACTCATCAACACCGCCACCCATAAACTCAACAACACCGCCACCCATAGGCTTCAACAACACCGCCCACCCATAGACTCATCAACACCGCCACCCATAGACTCAAGCAAACTCCGCAACCCATAGACTCAACAACACCGCCACCCATAGACTAAACAACACCGCCACACATAGACTGAACAACACTGCCACCCATAGACTCAACAACACCACCACCCATAGACACAACAACACTGCCACCCATAGAATCAACAACACCGCCACCCATAGACTCAACCACACCACCACCCATAGACACAACAACACCGCCACCCATAGACTCAACCACACCACCACCCATAGACACAACAACACCGCCACCCATAGACTGAACAACACCGCCACCCATAGACTCAACAACACTGCCACCCATAGACTCAACAACACCGCCACCAATAGACTCAACAACACTGCCACCCATAGAATCAACAACACCGCCACCCATAGACACAACAACACCGCCACCCATAGACTCAACAACACCGCCACCCATAGACTCAACAACACCGCCACTCATAGACTCAACAACACCGCCACCCATAGACTCAACAACACCGCCACCCATAGGCTTCAACAACACTGCCACCCATAGACTCAACAACACCGCCACCCATAGACTCAACAACACCGCCACCCATAGACTCAACAACACCGCCACCCATAGACTCAACAACACCGCCACCCATAGACTCAACAACACCGCCGCCAATAGACTCAACAACACCGCCACCCATAGACTCAACAAACACCGCCACCCATAGACTCAACAACACCGCCACACACAGACTCAGCAACACCGCCACCCATAGACTCAACAACATCGCCACCCAATCAACAACACCGCCACCCATAGACTCAACAACACCGCCATCCATAGACTCAACAACACCGCCACCCATAGACTCAACAACACCGCCACCCATAGACTCAACAACACCGCCACCCATAGACTCAACAACACCACCACCCATAGACTCAACAACACCGCCACCAATAGACACAACAACACCGCCACCCATAGACTCAACAACACGCCACCCATAGACTCAACAACACCGCCACCCATAGAAACAACAACACCGCCACCCATAGACTCAACAACACTGCCACCCATAGACTCAACAACACCGCCACCCATAGACTCAATGACACCGCCACCCATAGACACAACAACACTGCCACCCATAGACTCAACAACAATGCCACCAATAAATTCAACAACACGGCCACCCATACACTCAACAACACCGCCACCCATAGACTCAACAACACCGCCACCCATAGACTCAGCAACACCGCCACCCATAGACTCAACAACACCGCCACCCATAGACTCAACAACACCGCCACCCATAGACTCAACAACACCGCCACCCATAGACTCAACAACACCGCCGCCAATAGACTCAACAACACCGCCACCCATAGACTCAACAACACCGCCACCCATAGACTCAACAACACCGCCACACACAGACTCAGCAACACCGCCACCCATAGACTCAACAACATCGCCACCCAATCAACAACACCGCCACCCATAGACTCAACAACACCGCCACCCATAGACTCAACAACACCGCCACCCATAGACTCAACAACACCGCCACCCATAGACTCAACAACACCGCCACCCATAGACTCAACAACACCGCCACCCATAGACTCAACAACACCGCCACCAATAGACACAACAACACCGCCACCCATAGACTCAACAACACGCCACCCATAGACTCAACAACACCGCCACCCATAGACTCAACAACACCGCCACCCATAGACTCAACAACACCGCCACCCATAGACTCAACAACACCGCCACCCATAGACTCAACAGCACCGCCACATATAGACACAACAACACTGCCACCCATAGACTCAACAACACCGCCACCCATAGACTCAACAACACCGCCACCCATAGACTCAACAACACTGCCACCCATAGACTTCAACAACACCACCACCAATAGACTCAACAACACTGCCACCCATAGACTCAACAACACTGCCACCCATAGAATTCAACACCACCGCCACCCATAGACTCAACAACACCGCCACCCATAGACTCAACAACACCGCCACCCATAGACTCAGCAACACCACCATCCATAGACTCAACAACAACGCCACCCATAGACACAACAACACAGCCACCCATAGACTCAACAACACTGCCACCCATAGACTCAACAACACTGCCACCCATAGACTCAACAACACCGCCACCCATAGACTCAACGACACCGCCACCCATAGACACAACAACACTGTCACCCATAGACTCAACAACAATGCCACCCATAGATTCAACAACACGGCCACCCATACACTCAACAACACCGCCACCCATAGATTCAACAACACCGCCACCCATAGACTCAACAACACCGCCACCCATAGACTCAGCAACACCACCATCCATAGACTCAACAACAACGCCACCCATAGACACAACAACACCGCCACCCATAGACTCAACAACACTGCCACCCATAGACTCAACAACACCGCCACCCATAGACTCAACGACATCGCCACCCATAGACACAACAACACTGCCACCCATAGACTCAACAACAATGCCACCCATAGATTCAACAACACGGCCACCCATACACTCAACAACACCGCCACCCATAGATTCAACAACACCGCCACCCATAGACTCAACAACACCGCCACCCATAGACTCAGCAACACCGCCACCCATAGACTCAACAACACTGCCACCCACTCAACAACACCGCCACCCATAGACACAACAACACCCCACCCACAGAGTGTATATATATGAGAGTGTGTGTATATTAACGACATGAGGTACCCTTGTGAGGTCCCAGGCTCGCTCCCCACGAGTCCTTGAGCAGTGGGGCATCAGCAGGGAGGTGACCCCCACGGGGACCCCCACGGGGACCCCCACGGGGACCCTCCTTAGCCCCACGGGGACCCCCATCGTACCCCCTCACCAGGGTCGCCTGCACCCACACAAAGACACACACAGAGACACACACACAGACACACACACAGTGACACACACACAGACACACACACAGACACACAACAACAACCGCCATTCGCCACTAAGTGGCGGTGACGTCACCACGACGCTTGTGCCAGGCTATGTGCACCCTGAGGCCACGTGAAGTGTCGAACGCCCGCTGGCAGGAGGTCACGGGGCAGACCCAGGTGCCACGGGTCGACTGACTGAGATGACTGGCTGATGCACCACCTGTGACCCCTACTGTGCCAACCTGCTGTGCTTTAGCCACCCGGCGCTCCGCTCGTTGTTATGAGCGTCGCTCCTCCGCCCTCCGTTGTTGTTGGAGGGCGACTGCCTCCAACTGCCCAGTAGCATCCTTCACGAGCCTCCTCCACAGAGGCCGATCTTGACACCGCTGGTACCGGTCATCGGCAAGTCCACTCAGCTCCACGTCCTCCTGTACCACATCACTCCATCTCCTCTCTAGCCCGTGCCGCGCCCATTTAGCCCCCGCGATCCGGCCGAACAAAAGCTGTTTCGGCATGTGGTGGCTGGGCATGCGGGCTACATGTCCCAGCCATCGCAGCCTTGCCTGCCGGAGGAGCTCACCGATGGGACATTGTCCACTTCTTTCGAGGATTTGTGAGCTCCTCACGCAATCCAGCCTGGTTAAACCCAGGATGGATCGTAGGCAGGCCAGCCTAAATGTTTCTAACCGGCGAAGATGTTCCATTAAGGGGTTCCACGTTTCGCAAGCGTAGAGAAGGGAGGGAATGACCGTGGCCGAGAAGACCTGAAGCTTAGACCAGTTAGCTTCCACACAGCGTTACGTAACCGATGAAAAGATATTGCCGCTCGACTGATTCGGAGTGAGACCTCTGCTGTTAAACTGGAGCCGGTCACACAGACACACACACAAACACACTCACAGACACACACACAGACACACACACAGACACACAGACACACACACAGACACACACACAGACAGACACACACACACAGACACACACACAGACACACACACACAGTCACACACACACAAAGACACACACACAGACACACTCACAGACACACACACAGACACACACAGAGGGTGGTGAGTGGAGGGTCGTGAGTGGTGAGTGGTGAGTGGTTAGTGGTGAGTGGAGGGTGGTGAGTGGTGAGTGGGGGGTGGTGAGTGATGAGTGGAGGGTGGTGAGTGGTGAGTGGGGGGTGGTGAGTGGAGGGTGGTGAGTGGGGGGTGATGAGTGGTGAGTGGAGGGTGGTGAGTGGTGAGTGGAGGGTGGTGAGTGGTGAGTGGAGGGTGGTGAGTGGTGAGTGGAGGGTGGTGAGTGGTGAGTGGTGAGTGGAGGGTGGTGAGTGGTGAGTGGAGGGTGGGGGGTGGTGATTGGTGAGTGGGGGTGGTGAGTGGTGAGTGGAGGGTGGTGAGTGGTGAGTGGTGGGTGGTGAGTGGTGAGTGGAGGGTGGTGAGTGGTGAGTGGAGGGTGGGGGGTGGTGAGTGGTGAGTGGTGGGTGGTGAGTGGTGAGTGGAGGGTGGGGGGTGGTGAGTGGAGGGTGGTGAGTGGTGAGTGGAGGGTGGGGGGTGGTGATTGGTGAGTGGGAGTGGTGAGTGGTGAGTGGAGGGTGGTGAGTGGTGAGTGGTGGGTGGTGAGTGGTGAGTGTAGGGTGGTGAGTGGTGAGTGGAGGGTGGGGGGTAGTGAGTGGTGAGTGGTGAGTGGAGGGTGGTGAGTGGTGAGTGGGGGGTGGTGAGTGGAGGGTGGTGAGTGGTGAGTGGAGGGTGATGAGTGGTGAGTGGTGAGTGGAGGGTGGTGAGTGGTGAGTGGTGTATGGAGGGTGGTGAGTGGTGAGTGGGGGGTGGTGAGTGGAGGGTGGTGAGTGGTGAGTGGGGGGTGGTGAGTGGAGAGTGGTGAGTGGAGGGTGGTGAGTGGTGAGTGGGGGGTGGTGAGTGGAGGGTGGTGAGTGGTGAGTGGTGAGTGGGGGGTGGTGAGTGGAGGGTGGTGAGTGGTGAGTGGTGAGTGGAGGGTGGTGAGTGGTGAGTGGGGGGTGGTGAGTGGTGAGTGGTGAGTGGAGGGTGGTGAGTGGTGAGTGGTGAGTGGGGGGTGATGAGTGGTGAGTGGGGGGTGGTGAGTGGTGAGTGGTGAGTGGGGGGTGAAGGGTGGTGAGTGGTGAGTGGGGGGTGGGGGGTGGTGAGTGGTGAGTGGTGAGTGGGGGGTGGTGAGTGGTGAGTGGTGAGTCGGGGGTGGAGGGTGGTGAGTGGAGGGTGGGGGGTAGTGAGTGGTGAGTGGTGAGTGGAGGGTGGTGAGTGGTGAGTACCTGAAAGTCTCCCTTCCTCCAGCCGTCCCTGGTGAGCTGCTTCCTCACCACGGGGTGAGACCACAGGCGACGCAGAACGGCAGTAGCAGCACGAACCTCACGGGCAGAGAAACTCCCGTCCCTGTACACACACAGACACACACACACATACACACACAGAGACACACACAGTCACACAGAGACACACACAGACACACACAGACACACACACACAGACACACACACAGACACACACAGTCACACAGAGACACACACAGACACACACAGACACACACACACAGACACACACACAGACACACACAGAGACACACACAGTCACACAGAGACACACACAGACACACACACAGACACACACACAGACACAGTCACACACAGACACAGACACACACAGTGACACACACACAGACACACATACACACAGACACACACGCAGACACACGCAGACACACACACAGACACACACACACACAGACACACACACAGTCACACACAGACACAGTCACACACAATCACACACAGACACAGACACACACACACAGACACACACACACAGTCACACACAGGCACAGACACACACAGTGACACACACACAGACACACATACACACAGACACACACGCAGACACACACAGACACACACACAGACACACACAGAGACACACACAGACACACAGACACACACACAGACACACACACACAGACACACACACAGACACACACACACAGACACACACACACAGACACACACACACGCACACATTCACACACAGACTCACACCCACACACAGACACACACACAGACACACACACACAGACACACACACAGACACACACACAGACACACACACACAGTTACCCCACTCACTCACTTTCAGACAAACACTCACTCATACACACACACACTCACTCACACACTCACTAACTCACACATACACTCACTCATACACTCACTCACTCATACACTCACTCACTCATACACTCATACACTCACTCATACACTCACTCACTCATACACACACTCATACACTCACTCATACACTCACTCACTCAGGCACTCACTCACTGATACACTCACTCACTCATACACTCACTCACTCATACACTCACTCACTCATACACTCACTCACTCATACACTCACTCACTCATACACTCATGGCCACGTGGAATGTTCGAACGATCACTGCGGAGGAGAGGCTGCCACTCCTCTGTCGGGAGCTGGACCAATACCGCCTGGATCTCTGTGGTATTCAGGAGGTCCGGTGGACCGGCTCTGGCTCCTGCCACATTGAGGGGTGGACAGTCCTCTACTTGGGGCAGCAGACTGCCAAACAACAGGGAGTGGCTCTACTCCTGAACAAAAGAATGAAGGGGGGGCGTGGGAGCATGGCGGTGAGGTGTGGGAAGCTGTAAGCCCCAGGCTACTTTGGGCTCGCCTTCCAATCAACCGGGGGCGCGGAGTGGTGGTCGTGGTTACTGAAGACGAACATCCGTGGAGGAATGCAGGTAAAGCCGATGAGTCAGATGCCTTCTGTGACCTCCTGTCACAGGTGCTGGCTAAAGTGTCACCTCGGGATAGAGTCATCTTGCTGGGTGACTTCAATGCCCGAGTTGGTCATGATGCTGGCACCTGGTCTGGAGTGATTGGAGGGCATGGGCCAGATCAGCTCAATAACAACGGTAGGAGGCTGCTAGATTTTTGCGCAGCCCATGGGCTTGTAATTACCAACACGCTGTTCCGGCATCGGCGCATCCACACAACATCATGGATGCATGCCGGGTCCAAGCAAGAACATCTGCTGGACTACATAGTGACGGACCGGTGGATGCGAGCCGATGTCCTTGACACCAGGACCTACCGTGGAGCTGATCTGCCCTCTGACCATCGATTAGTAATCTGTAAGATGCGCCTGCCATTCTTCCACTCCTGTGGTGGGTGTACACCCAGGACCACATTCCAACCTAAAGTGGCCTGGTCTCAGCTGATGAAAGTTGTAAGCGAGAATTTCATCATCACTTGCGGCTGGGGTTGGCATCGTCCCCCACTCCTCCTGATGTCGAGGGTAAATGGGCGAGGTTTAAGACTGTGGCTCATGCAGCTGCAATGGCTGCTTTGGGTACGCAGTCCAGACCTCCCCAGAGACCCTGGCTGACAGAGGAGGTGTTCAGGATAGTTGAGAAAAAGCGACAGGCCCACTGTCATTGGCTACAGCATCCCACGTCAGAGAATGAGGAGGCTTACCGCAGCCTTCACTCGGAGGTTTGGAGAGCCGTGAGGCGCTGCAAGCATGGGTGCTGAGGAGATGGAGTCTGCCTCACTGGCCCGCGATCACAAATCCCTATTTAACTCCATCAAAAAAGTAACCTGCAGCGCCACACCATTTACCATCATTAGGGGAAAAAACGGTGATCCAATCTCCGACTCCAGGAACAGGTTCGCAGATTTGCTGAGCATTTCTGTGAGGTCCTGGGGGAGGGAAAATCCCTCAGCCAGAAAAACATCGTGGCACAAAGTGGGGATGACCCTGCTTAGGCTGCGGTGCCTCAAATATTGGAAGAAGTCACCCCCTGTGAGTGGCTGGCTGAGGTGCCATCTGTTGAGGAAGTACTGAAGGCGATCCAAAGTCTGAGACCAGGAAAGGCACCGGGCAGAGATGATCTCCCAAGCGAAATGCTGAGGGAGGGTGGCATTTGTGCACAGACTGCCCTATATGACATCATAACAACAGTCTGGACCACTGGACGGGTTCCGCAGGTTTGGAAGGATGCCCTGGTGGTCCCCCTCTTTAAGAAGGGGGACCGCACAGACTGTAACAACTACAGGGGCATCTCACTCCTCATTGTGCAGGGAAAGGTCCTGGCAAGGATTATTCAACATCGCCTTGCCAGGCACGCTGAGGAGAGGCTTGCGGAGCCCCAATGCGGTTTCAGGAAAGGGCGGTCCTGCACAGATGCCATATTTTCTGTCCGTCTGCTACAGCAGAGGTGTAGGGAATTCCAACAAGACCTACATCTCTGCTTTATTGACCCGGTCAAGGCCTATGATACCATCACTAGGCCTGGGCTCTGGGTTGTTCTTTGTGCTTTTGGAGTCCCTGACCCCCTGCTCACGATCATTATGGACCTTCATGATGGTTAGCGGGCCCGGGTAAAACTACGTAGCCGGGAGTCAGAGCCATTCCCCCGGTACAGCTATTGAAGCCTTCAATAGCTGTACCGGGGGAATCTCCATTTGGTACAGATAAAACTAAGCACCTGCCTGGGTATTTTGTAGCATCGGACACTTCATCTCCACAACTCCCAATCGGTGATGGGGCAGTTGTGGAGAAAGTGGAGAGTGTCCCATACCTGGGCAGTGTGCTTATGACCTGACTTCAGTTTAACAGCAGAGGTCTCACTCCGAATCAAGTCGAGTGGCAATATCTTTTCATTGGTTGCATAACGCTGTGTGGAAGCTACCTGGTCTGTCGCTCCGCACTAAGCTTCAGGTATTCTCGGCCACGGTCATTCCCTCCCTTCTCTACGCTTGCGAAACGTGGACCCCCCTAATGCAACATCTTCGCCGTTTAGAAACATTTAGGCTGGCCTGCCTACGATCCATCCTGGTTTTAACCAGACTGGATTGTGTGAGGAGCTCACAAATCCTTGAAAGATCTGGGCAAGGTCCCATCGGTGAGCTCCTCCGGCGGGGAAGGCTGTGATGGCTGGGTCATGTAGCCCGCATGCCCAGCCACCGCATGCCGAAACAAGCTTTTGTTCGACCTGATCTAGGGGGCTAAGCGGGCGCGGCATGGGCTAGAGAAGAGATGGAGTGATGTGGTACAGGAGGACGTGGAGCTGAGTGGACTTGCCGATGACTGGTACCAGCAGTGTCAAGATCGGCCTCTGTGGAGGAGGCTCGTGACGGATGCTACTGGGCAGTTGGAGGTAGTCGCCCTCCAACAACAACAGGAGGGCGGAGGAGCGACGCTCAGCTAACAACGAGTGGAGCGCCGGGTGGCCTAAAGCACAGCAGATTGGCACAGTAGGGGGCACAGGTGGTGCATCAGCCAGTCATCTCAGTCAGTCGACCCGTGGCACCTGCTGGGTCTGCCCCGTGACCTCCTGCCAGCGGGCGTTCGACGCTTCACGTGGCTTCAGGGTGCACATAGCCTGGCACAAGCGTCGTGGTGACGTCACCGCCACTTAGTGGCGAATGGCGGTTGTTGTTGTTGTTGTTGTGTGTGTGTCTGTGTGTGTCTGTGTGTGTGTTTGTGTGTGTGTCTGTGTGTGTCTGTGTGTGTATGTGTGTCTGTGTGTGTCTGTGTGTGTGTTTGTCTGTGTGTGTGTCACTGTGTGCCTGTGTGTGTCTGTGTGTGGCTCACGTGGTCCGCGCGATGCTGCCCAGCCTCTCCACGCCCCCCGCATCCATCAGGGCCTTGGCGTTGTGGCCACCACCGCCACCACCACCGCCACCACCACCACCACCGCTACCGCCACCACCACCACAATCACTGACGATCTCCAGCAGGGCATGGAGTATCGCCAACACCATCTCCTCTGAGTGCTCCACCATCACCACACGAACGCCACCACCACCGCCACCACCACCACCACCACCTCCAGTGTGTGGCAACTTGTCCAGAAGGTCACACATCGCGTACTTGCCTGCAACAGGGAGAGAGGGTGAGTGGGTGAGTGAGTGAGTGGGTGAGTGGGTGAGTGAGTGAGTGGGTGGGTGGGTGAGTGAGTGGGTGAGTGAGTGAGTGGGTGAGTGGGTGAGTGGGTGAGTGAGTGAGTGGGTGAGTGAGTGAGTGAGTGGGTGAGTGGGTGAGTGAGTGGGTGAGTGAGTGAGTGGGTGAGTGAGTGAGTGGGTGAGTGAGTGGGTGAGTGGGTGAGTGGGTGAGTGAGTGGGTGAGTGAGTGGGTGAGTGAGTGAGTGAGTGGGTGAGTGGGTGAGTGGGTGAGTGAGTGAGTGGGTGAGTGAGTGTGTGAGTGGGTGAGTGAGTGAGTGGGTGGGTGAGTGAGTGGGTGGGTGAGTGAGTGAGTGGGTGAGTGAGTTGGTGAGTGAGTGGCTGAGTGAGTGGGTGAGAGAGTGAGTGGGTGGGTGAGTGGGTGAGTGTATGAGTGTGTGAGTGTATGAGTGAGTGAGTGTATGAGTGAGTGTATGAGTAAGTGTATGAGTGAGTGTATGAGTGAGTGAGTGAGTGTATGAGTGAGTGAGTGTATGAGTGAGTGTATGAGTGAGTGAGTGTATGAGTGAGTGAGTGTATGAGTGAGTGTATGAGTGAGTGAGTGTATGAGTGAGTGAGTGTATGAGTGAGTGAGTGTATGAGTGAGTGTATGAGTGAGTGTATGAGTGAGTGAGTGTATGAGTGAGTGAGTGTATGAATGAGTGAGTGAGTGTATGACTGAGTGAGCGTATGAGTGAGTGTATGAGTGAGTGTATGAATGAGTGAGTGAGTGTATGAGTGAGTGTATGAGTGAGTGAGTGTATGAGTGAGTGAGTGTATGAGTGAGTGTATGAGTGAGTGAGTGTATGAGTGAGTGAGTGTATGAGTGAGTGAGTGTATGAGTGAGTGTATGAGTGAGTGAGTGAGTGTATGAGTGAGTGAGTGAGTGTATGAGTGAGTGTATGAGTGAGTGAGTGAGTGTATGAGTGAGTGTATGAGTGAGCGAGTGAGTGTATGAGTGAGTGAGTGGTGAGCGAGTGGTGAGCGAGGGGTGAGCGTACCGATGAGCTCCCGGTTGCGTGTGTCCATGGCCAGGTTGCGGAGGGCGGTTGCTGCGGCGATCACCACTCGCTCACCGCTCACCGCTCGCTCGCCGCTCACCGCTCGCTCACCGCTCACCGCTCGCTCACCGCTCACCACTCGCTCACCGCTCACCACTCGCTCACTCTCGCAGCGCAGGAGCTCCACGAGAACCGGGAGGCCGCGTTGGCTCCTCACAAGGGTCCTCACCCGCTGGGCGCACTGCACTCACCAACGTCAACATCGTCATCATCATCATCAACATCGTCATCATCATCAACATCGTCATCATCATCGACATCGTCATCATCGTCATCATCGTCATCATCGTCAACATCGTCACCATCATCGACATCGTCATCATCATCAACATCGTCATCATCGTCAACATCGTCATCATCATCGACATCGTCATCATCGTCAACATCGTCAACAACGTCAACATCGTCAACGTCAACATCGTCATCAACGTCGTCATCATCGTCATCGTCATCGTCGTCAACATCGTCAACATCGTCATCATCGTCATCATCATCGTCAACATCATCACCACCGTCAATGTCACCATCGTCAGCGTCACCGCCTTCACCACCTTCACCACCTTCACCACCGTCACCACCGTCACCACCTTCACCACCGTCACCACCTTCACCACCGTCACCACCTTCACCACCGTCACCATCAACACCACCGTCACCACCATCACCACCGTCACCACCTTCACCGCCTTCACCACCGTCACCGTCACCACCGTCACCACCGTCACCACCGTCACCGTCACCACCGTCACCACCGTCACCACCGTCAATGTCACCACCATCAACATCACCACCGTCACCGTCACCAGTCACCGTCACCACCGTCACCACCGTCACCATCAACACCACCGTCACCATCTTCACCACCTTCACCAACTTCACCACCGTCAACGTTACCACCGTCACCACCGTCACCGTCACCACCGTAACCACCGTCAAGATCACCGTCAACGTCACCACCGTCCACGTCTCCACGGTCACCGTCACCGTCAACGTCACCACCGTCAACGTCACCACCATCACCGTCACCATCAACGTCGTCAACGTCATCACCGTCACCGTCACCATCACCACCGTCCCACCGTCACCATCACAACCGTCACCGTCACCGTCAACGTCACCACCGTCACCGTCAACGTCACCACCATCACCATCACCACCGTCAAGATCACCGTCAACGTCACCACCGTCCACGTCTCCACGGTCACCGTCACCGTCAACGTCACCACCGTCAACGTCACCACCATCACCGTCACCATCAACGTCGTCAACGTCATCACCGTCACCATCACCACCGTCCCACCGTCACCATCACAACCGTCACCGTCACCGTCAACGTCACCACCGTCACCGTCAACGTCACCACCATCACCGTCACCACCGTCAAGATCACCGTCAACGTCACCACCGTCCACGTCTCCACGGTCACCGTCACCGTCAACGTCACCACCGTCAACGTCACCGCTGTCAACGTCACCATCAACGTCATGACCGTCAACGTCTTCAACATCGTCAACACAATCAACATCGTCGTCATCATCGTCAGCATCGTCAGCATGATCACCACCGTCAACATAACCACCGTCAGCACCTTCACCACTTTCACCACCTTCACCACCGTCACCACCTTCACCACCTTCACCACCGTCACCATCACGGTCACCGTCACCGTCAACGTCACCACCATCACCATCACCACCGTCAACGTCACCACCATCACCGTCACCACCGTCAACGTCACCACCGTCAACGTCACCACCATCACCGTCACCGTCACCACCGTCAACGTCACCACCGTCACCGTCACCGTCAACATCACCACCGTCACCACCGTCACCGTCACCACCGTCACCACCATCACCGTCACCGTCACCGTCAACGTCACCACCGTCACCACCGTCACCGTCACCACCGTCAACGTCACCGTCACCATCGTCACCATCAACACCACCATCACCACCTTCACCGCCTTCACCAGCTTCACCACCTTCACCACCGTCAACGTCACCACCGTCACCGTCAACGTCACCACCGTCACCGTCACTGTCAACGTCACCACCGTCACCACCGTCACCACCGTCACCGTCAACGTCACCACCGTCAACGTCACCATCAACGTCGTCACCGTCAACGTCTTCAACATCGTCAACACCGTCAACATCGTCATCATCATCGTCAGCATCATCACCACCGTCAACATAACCACCGTCAGCGTCACCACCGTCACCACCGTGAACATCTTCATCATCGTCAACACCGTCATCGTCAACATCGTCAACATCGTCACCACCGTCAACGTTACCACCGTCAACGTCACCGTCACCACCGTCACCGTCGTCACCGTCACCGTGAATGTCACCACGGGTAACGTCGTCACCACCTTCACCACCGTCACCACCGTCACCACCGTCACCGTCACCGTCATCACCGTCACCACCTTCACCACCGTCACCAACGTCACCACCTTCACCATCGTCACCACCGTCACCGCCGTCACCGTCACCGTCATCACCGTCACCACCTTCACCACCGTCACCAACGTCACCACCTTCACCACCATCATCACCTTCACCACCGTCACCACCTACACCACCATCACGGTTACCACCTTCACCACCGTCACCAACGTCACCACCTTCACCATCGTCACCACCGTCACCACCGTCACCGTCACCGTCATCACCGTCACCACCTTCACCACTGTCACCAACGTCACCACCTTCACCACCTTCACCACTGTCACCACCGTCACCACCTACACCACCATCACCATCACCACCTACACCACCGTCACCATCTTCACCACCGTCACCACCGTCACCACCATCACCACATTCACCACCGTCACCACCTTCACCGTCACCACCGTCACCACCGTCACCACCGTCACCACCGTCAGCGCCTTCACCACCTTCACCACCGTCACCACCGTCACCACCGTCACCACCGTCACCGTCAACGTCACCATCAACGTCGTCACCGTCAACGTCTTCAACATCGTCAACACCGTCAACATCGTCATCATCATCGTCAGCATCATCACCACCGTCAACGTAACCACCGTCAGCATCATCACCGTCACCACCGTGAACATCTTCATCATCGTCAACATCGTCAACATCGTCACCACCGTCAACGTTACCACCGTCAACGTCACCGTCACCACCGTCACCGTCGTCACCGTCACCGTGAATGTCACCAAGGGTACGTCGTCACCACCTTCACCACCGTCACCACCGTCACCACCTTCACCACCGTCACCACCTTCACCACCGTCACCACCTTCACCACCGTCACCACCGTCACCGCCTTCACCACCATCACCACCATCACCACCGTCACCACCGTCACCACCATCACCACCTTCACCACCGTCACCACCGTCACCAACGTCACCACCGTCACCACCTTCACCACCGTCACCACCGGCACCACCTTCACCACCGTCACCACCGTCACCACCATCACCACCGTCACCACCGTCACCACCATCACCACCTTCACCACCGTCACCACCATCACCACCTTCACCACCATCACCACCGTCACCACCGTCACCAACGTCACCACCGTCACCACCGTCACCACCGTCACCACCTACACCACCATCACCATCACCACCTACACCACCGTCACCATCTTCACCACCGTCACCACCGTCACCACCATCACCACATTCACCACCGTCACCACCTTCACCACCGTCACCACCGTCACCACCGTCACCACCGTCAGCGCCTTCACCACCTTCACCACCGTCACCACCGTCACCACCGTCACCACCGTCACCGTCAACGTCACCATCAACGTCGTCACCGTCAACGTCTTCAACATCGTCAACACCGTCAACATCGTCATCATCATCGTCAGCATCATCACCACCGTCAACGTAACCACCGTCAGCATCATCACCGTCACCACCGTGAACATCTTCATCATCGTCAACATCGTCAACATCGTCACCACCGTCAACGTTACCACCGTCAACGTCACCATCACCACCGTCACCGTCGTCACCGTCACCGTGAATGTCACCAAGGGTAACGTCGTCACCACCTTCACCACCGTCACCACCGTCACCACCTTCACCACCGTCACCACCTTCACCACCGTCACCACCTTCACCACCGTCACCACCGGTCACCCGCCTTCACCACCATCACCACCATCACCACCGTCACCACCGTCACCACCATCACCACCTTCACCACCGTCACCACCGTCACCAACGTCACCACCGTCACCACCTTCACCACCGTCACCACCGTCACCACCTTCACCACCGTCACCACCGTCACCACCATCACCACCGTCACCACCGTCACCACCATCACCACCTTCACCACCGTCACCACCATCACCACCTTCACCACCATCACCACCGTCACCACCGTCACCAACGTCACCACCGTCACCACCGTCACCACCGTCACCACCGTCACCACCTACACCACCATCACCATCACCACCTACACCACCGTCACCATCTTCACCACCGTCACCACCGTCACCACCATCACCACCTTCACCACCGTCACCACCTTCACCGTCACCACCGTCACCACCGTCACCACCGTCACCACCGTCAGCGCCTTCACCACCTTCACCACCGTCACCACCGTCACCACCGTCACCACCGTCACCGTCAACGTCACCATCAACGTCGTCACCGTCAACGTCTTCAACATCGTCAACACCGTCAACATCGTCATCATCATCGTCAGCATCATCACCACCGTCAACGTACCACCGTCAGCATCATCACCGTCACCACCGTGAACATCTTCATCATCGTCAACATCGTCAACATCGTCACCACCGTCAACGTTACCACCGTCAACGTCACCGTCACCACCGTCACCGTCGTCACCGTCACCGTGAATGTCACCAAGGGTAACGTCGTCACCACCTTCACCACCGTCACCACCGTCACCACCTTCACCACCTTCACCACCGTCACCACCGTCACCGCCTTCACCACCATCACCACCATCACCACCGTCACCACCGTCACCACCATCACCACCTTCACCACCGTCACCACCGTCACCAACGTCACCACCGTCACCACCTTCACCACCGTCACCACCGTCACCACCTTCACCACCGTCACCACCGTCACCACCATCACCACCGTCACCACCGTCACCACCATCACCACCTTCACCACCGTCACCACCATCACCACCTTCACCACCATCACCACCGTCACCACCGTCACCAACGTCACCACCGTCACCACCTTCACCACCGTCACCACCGTCACCACCTTCACCACCGTCACCACCGTCACCACCATCACCACCGTCACCACCGTCACCACCATCACCACCTTCACCACCGTCACCACCATCACCACCTTCACCACCATCACCACCGTCACCAACCGTCACCAACGTCACCACCGTCACCACCGTCACCACCGTCACCACCGTCACCATCGTCACCAGCGTCACCACTGTCACCAACGTCAACGTCACCACCGTCAACCCCCAATGCTCCACCCGCTCGCCCCCCCCACCACTCCCTCCACCACTCCCCCCACCACTAGACCCACCACCACTCCCCCCACCACTCCCCCCACCACTACCCCCACCACCACTCACCCACCACCACCACCCACCCACCACCACTCCCCCACCACAACTCCCCCCCACCACTCCCCCCTACCACCCCCCCACCACCACCCCCCCACCACTCCCTCCACCACCCCCCCACCCCCCCCCCACCACCACTCCCCCCGCCACCACCCCCCCATCACTCACCACCTCCACCACTCCCCCCACCACTCCCCCCACCACTCCCCCCACCACTCCCCCCAACCACTCCCCCTAACCCCCCCCCCACCACCACCCCCCCAACACTCCCCCCCACCACTCCCCCCCACCAACCCCCCACCACCACCCACCACCCCCCCGCACCACCCCCCCACCACTCCCCCCCCCACCACCACCCCCCCACCTCCCAGTGCGATGAGGCCGTGAGATTCTGCAGAGTCCCGGCTGAGGCTTCGAGCGTGGCGGAGTTGGTGCAGCCGGACAGCAGCGCAACGTGGAGTCCCACCACGTCCTCGGCTGGGTGGATCAGCAGCATCATACCTGTAACATCATCACCATCATCACCTGCATCATCATCATCATCACCATCTACACAGCGCAACGTGGAGTCCCACCACGTCCTCGGCTGGGTGGATCAGCAGCATCATACCTGTAACATCATCACCATCATCATCATCACCATCATACCTGTAACATCATCACCAGCATCATCATCACCATCATACCTGTACCATCATCATCATCACCATCATCATCATACCTGTACCATCATCACCATCATCTACACAGCGCAACGTGGAGTCCCACCACGTCCTCGGCTGGGTGGTACAGCAGCATCATACCTGTAACATCATCACCATCATCATCACCATCATACCTGTACCATCATCACCATCATCACCTGTAACATCATCACCATAATCATCATCACCATCATACCTGTAACATCATCATCACCATCATCATCATACCTGTACCATCACCATCATCACCATCATCACCATCATACCTGTACCATCATCATCATCACCATCATCACCATCACCATCATACCTGTACCATCATCACCATCATCACCTGTACCACCATCATCACCACCATCTACAGAGCGCAACGTGGAGTCCCACCACGTCCTCGGCTGGGTGGATCAGCAGCATCATACCTGTAACATCATCACCATCATCATCACCATCATCATACCTGTACCATCACCATCATCACCATCATCACCATCATCATCATCATCACCATCATCACCATCATCATCACCTGTATCATCATCATCATCTACACAGCGCAACGTGGAGTCCCACCACGTCCTCGGCTGGGTGGATCAGCAGCATCATACCTGTAACATCATCACCATCATCATCACCTGCATCATACCTGTAACATCATCACCATCATCATCATCATCATACCTGTTCCATCATCACCATCATCACCATCATCATCATCATAACCATCATCTACACAGCGCAACGTGGAGTCCCACCACGTCCTCGGCTGGGTGGATCAGCAGCATCATACCTGTAACATCATCACCATCATCACCTGCATCATCATACCTGTTCCATCATCACCATCATCACCATCATCATCATAACCATCATCTACACAGCGCAACGTGGAGTCCCACCACGTCCTCGGCTGGTGGATCAGCAGCATCATACCTGTAACATCATCACCATCATCATCACCTGCATCATACCTGTAACATCATCACCATCATCATCATCATACCTGTTCCATCATCACCATCATCACCATCATCATCATCATAACCATCATCTACACAGCGCAACGTGGAGTCCCACCACGTCCTGGGCTGGGTGGATCAGCAGCATCATACCTGTACCATCATCACCATCACCTGCATCATCACCATCATACCTGTACTATCATCACCACCATCTACACAGCGCAACGTGGAGTCCCACCACGTCCCTCGGCCTGGGTGGATCAGCAGCATCATACCTGTAACATCATCACCATCATAATCACCACCTGCATCATCATCACCATCATACCTGTACCATCATCACCATCATCATCATCATACCTGTATCATCACCATCATCATCACCATCACCATCATACCTGTACCATCATCACCATCATCATCACCTGCATCATCATCATCACCAGCATCACCATCATCTACACAGCCGCAACGTGGAGTCCCACCACGTCCTCGGCTGGTGGTACAGCAGCATCATACCTGTACCATCATCACCATCATCATCACCTGTACCAACCATCATCACCACCATCTACCAGCGCAACGTGGAGTCCCCACCACGTCCTCGGCTGGGTGGTACAGCAGCATCATACCTGTACCATCATCACCATCACCTGCATCATCATCATCATCATACCTGTACCATCATCATCACCATCAT